AATGACTGACTTGCTATTTACACTGTTAGGATGGTTTATCAAGGAAATTTGAAAGTTTAAGGGGTTCGACACCCCACAATTCAGCATGCCTAATGGGAGAAAAATTTCAGGGCACTAGCTAGTATAACCCACAAAAGTTTATGGGGTTTTGTGAATTTTGCCTTAAGAATAAATTTATTTTATTTTATACTCAACATCCTTGAAAATGTTAGCAAATTGTTAAAAGTTGAAAATTCTCAGCATTACAAATTAGATTTATGTTTGCCTCAACTGATCGACCAGGATGGCTGGGCACAATTGGTCAAGTTGGAGTGGCAAATCTCACCGGTCCTAATCCGAGCTTGGCTCGAGTACGAGGCAGGAGCCCAATCGGATTTGGACTAAAGTTGTCGTCTTCTACAGACACTTCCAACTGAGAATTCATCCAATAAAAGTTTTCATAATCTTCTTCACTAAACAATGGGTAATGAATTAAAGAATAAAATTCATTAGTCCTCAAAGACTGACTTAAATATTAAACGAACAGTTAATTGCGAGAGGTAATACAGGATTTTATTTTAAACAGCAAAGAAGTATGCAGAAGATAGAAAATTCACAACACTTGCCACATAAAAAGTTCTTGTCACAAAATTAAAGGCGTAGATAGATATGGGTCGTACCTAAACTTATTGAATATACTTAAGACACTTCAAAATGTATTTTCATAAAGTTTTAAAAAACAAATAGACTAGGGCCATATGAGTCCTCTATCCTTTATGTTAGGATGATTTATAGTTTGCTAAATGTGTTTAGCAAACTATACAAAACTGGGTTAGGACCATTCCTAACCTGGCTTTGTGGTAAACCAATTTTTTTGGACAGACTCCCTCCTGGTCCAAAAGAAAACTGGTTTAAGGTCATATTTCGGCCTATCAAAACAGGGTCAGATCTGACCCTCTTATTTGCCAAACAAAAAATCTTTTAAAATTGGGTCAGGTTCAAACCTAGCCCAGTTTTGAAAGATTGTCAAACACACCCTTTGATTTTACTCTTTTCTAACTTTGACAATCTAAAATTCTATTTGATCAGTTCAACATAGGGTGGACGTGAGCTGAATCGAACCGTAGGTCGAACCGTAGGTCGAACCCATCTTGGGTTAAGACCACGACCCAAAGTGGGATGGGCCTGACCCGACCCGTTTTAGAGTTGAGCCATGGGCTGGGCCGGGTTTATGCTTCAACCAGGGAACAAAGAAGACAACCCACCCGAGAAGCCCGGCCCACTATTAAATTGGCCCGGGTCCAACATAGGCCGACCTTTTTTTTTTAACTCTAAACTTATATGTGCATTTTTCATTGCATGAGTGAATTCAGATTTTGCGTTGTTTATTGCCTATGCAATACATTCATGAATGTTAAGCCCATATTACACTTGTGTACATTTTGAACATGAATGTTTAATTTCACGTACTAGATCTTTCAAATCTATTGGAGTATTAGCATCTAATTGTATATAAGTTTTCATTCAACAGTGGTCTGCATAGGCATTAAAGAACTAGCACATAATAATCTTAAATTACTATGGATTGGTTGAAAACTATGGGCATGCTGCTAATGACGCCATTATTTGACATTTTGCTTCCAATCTTAAACAAGTATTAAGTGTAACACCTTAGTTTCTAAAAAGTCTAAAATAGTAAAAATATAAATTTAATATAATTTTATAAATATATAAATATATTATAGATAGAAAAGGAAAATGTTAAAAAAAACAAAAAAACAATGCTTGTTGACTCGAAACTTGAACCACTACTTTATATGTCAAACCCGGCTTGGTCCATTGCAGGTCGTGGGTTGGGCTAGGTTCGACCCTAGACTTAGGGACAACATAACAAGCTCGAGCTGCCAAGACCCGCATAGGTCGGGTCTGAATCCGCCCTGCTAGAGAACAAAGCGAGCCGGCTCACTAGTTAGGCCCAACCTAGCTCACGCCCACACATAGTTCAGTGCCCTAAGATACAAATAGTTAACATTATTTTATTTAAATATATTAATATGTAAAGTGTGTGAGAGAATAACTTGTTCAATTAGAATTAGTTTTTTAAATATAGAGACTAGGAAAAAAGTTAAAGTTTCAAAGGGCAAGATGCCTTTAGACTTTAGTGCATCAAAATAGAAATTCAAAGTAATCAAAATTGAAAAAAGGAAAATTTTGGAGCATCAAAGGGCAAGATGCCTTTAGCGCACGTGTGTGAACGTGGTGGAAGAACATCCATATAATATAAAATTCATTATCATATGTAATATTTAATAGTATCTTACCCGCACGAATCATCGAGCGGTCCAGCCGAAGAGGCACGGCATCCTCACCCGCGCCAGTATTCACACGTGTCACCCACCGCAGCGTTTCCATCGCGAAGCAACAAAAATTAGCTTGACACGTGAGACACGTTAGTGCCCGGCTCCCATGCGTGCCAGTCCGCGGTCCTTCTTACCGCGTCCTGGGACCCACGTGTCGCCTAACTACGCGTCCGACCTATATAATCCCCTCCGCAGCAGATCCCCATTCAATCCATCACTCCCTCTAAGAAGAGTGAAGGAAGAGTTAAAAAGTCTCGAGAGCGTTCACAATGTCGACGGCGATGGTAAGAGAGTCCGAACACGAGGAGGAAATGGTGGAACGAATAGAACCAATCCACGTGTCCGACGTGTCGCTGGAGTCCTTCCTCAAAGCTGCCGTCTCCCTCAAAAACAAGGTATTTAGTGAGAATATGTTGATTTGGGAGGGTTTTTATATGCAAATGAGTCACGTGTGTGTGTGAAAACGGGCGTGAACAGCGCGAATTCAAGTTACGTATGCAACACTTAAATTAAATTTAAGGATTTACATTTCAAATTACAAATTTATATATAGGGTTCAGTGGCTTTGCCCTTTACCAGTCGAAATTTTTGTTTCGGCAGCTAAATTTGATGATTTTCACTTTTTGGTGGATTATTTAGTTATTTAGCTGAAAAATTAAATTTCATACCAATTATACTGTGGAGTGGGTGGCACACGTGAAGAATTAAAGCCGCAGAACAGTACATATGCAGGCAGAAGAAAAATTCCTCAAGGACCCAAAATATGGGACCAATAGGGGGGACAAGTAAGATGTCCACCTCCTATTGGATAATGAATTGGCCATCATTAATGATGGCCAATTCATTATCCAATAGGAGGTAATGAATTGGCCATCATTAATGATGGCCAATTCATTATCCAATAGGAGGTGGACACCTCACTTGTCCCTCCTATTGGTGCCATATTTTGGATCCCTTTAGCAAAGCTCCAGGCAGAATAATAAATTTAAGCTTATATAGGGGCACAAACGTAAATGTCAACATCCGCAATTTGCAGGTAGTGGATGCCACGTGGACGATGAGGAAGGATGCTTTGGTCGATCCGACGGCGTACACGGGGCTGTTGGGGACGGCGATGGTGTGCCTGAGGTCGTACGAGGCCACCGGCTGCTCGGGTGATTTGAACTTGTGTGCTGAGATAGCGGACACGTGTACGGTCGTGGCGCGTAACTGTAACAGGTAAATTGTTGATTTGTCCGTCATCTTCACCTTTTGAGTTTTGGGCATATAATTACTTCCCTTTCCTTCAATCAAACATGTTTAGTGGGACCTAAAATAGGTCCGGATTCTATCTCCAGCTAGTTAGTAATTAGTGTGGAAATGACTCCTTTTATTCACAGCCATTTACAAGAAGGAAAGCTTTGAATTTAGGGCCTCTTTGGTTGTTTTCCTGAAAATCAAAGAAAAATTAAGGAAATGAGGAAAACATCAAACAAGTTCTTCTCCAATTTCCTCAACAAAAATCATGAAATGGGTATCCTAAAATGTGGGTCACCTCAACCAATAAGAATTTAGCACATCATCATTTTTCTTGGTTCTAGGTTTGACCCAAACAAAGAAAAGGAAAATGTTATGAAAAACTTACAACAAGATTGTATTTTTTCTTCATTTTTTTCCGGTCATTTTTCACAAATTTTGGGCGAACCAAATAGCCCCTAGGGCTGAAGCCCGGACAACACCAACACTAGTGGTGGATTTAGAATTTAAGAAAAGTGGTCTCACCAGATAATTAATGATGAATTTTTTTAAAAATTTTGAAAGAAGTATATAACTACATTGGTGGTAACAATATCTAATATATCATGAGCAAGAATATCAAATACATAATCACACTTAGTAAATTTAACTCATGGGCCATGAGTGGATGCCCATTTTTAGGGCAATTGCACTCCTAACACTAAAATTGCATTCTAAAACCTTCTAATTTACAGCTCGCGCCCCATAATTTAAAATATTTACACCCTATTTGAATTTTAGCTCATCTGAGTTGGGAATTAAGCCAATTTGTGAACAGTGTTATTTTACATTACAATAGTTTAATTTTTATTTAAATGGATATTTGTCGTCCGTTCCTCTAAGATATTTTTTTTTTTGGATCCGTCAATGATGGGGTATATAAGGAATCTGTTGTGATTAGATTGATTGTACAAGTACACAAAATACTTGCACAAAAGTATTTTCATTATCAAAAGAAAACTCTTTTTAATCTTTCACCTAGTCGCAGTAGGATATGTCTCAAGTAGTGTTAGTTTGACTTGGTCATTGATGACCAAATCAACCATTGTTTCTCTGTTGAGAGAATGGTGGAGAACGTGAATCATGGGTGGTTGAGAGAAAATCTCTCATGGGGACGGATCTGAGGGGTAGAGATGATGGGTTAAGCCCCTATATAAGGAGGATCATTCTCCTTGAGAAAACGCAATGAAAATCAAAAAGAAAACCCACTTACCCATTACCAGAGCCCCTCAGAAATCCTCTTTCTTCTTCTCTGTTTTTTTTTAATCACTGGTATCAGAGCACAGAGCTGCGACGTCGACGACTGAAGGAGATCGGAGACCATCGGTCGAGCTCGAGATTGAGATTTTTTTTTTTGAGAAGAGTAGAGAGAAGCCGAGTTAGAGAAGCCGATCAACTTCTATCCCTCTGTTGAAGAAGAAGAAAGGTTCAGTTGAAGAAGAAGAACCAGCAGGTTAAAAGATAACCTACTCAAAGTTAAAGCTAGCCTACTCTCTCTTTTGTCCACTGTAGCTTGTTTGTATAGCCTACTCTCTCTTTTGTCCAGTTAAAGCAGAGTTTGTTAGCTTTATTTTTTTGGTCCTACATGATAGCTTTTCCATCCCATTTGACAACAGAAAGAAAACTGGTCCTAGCCTACAACCTTTCACAACCTACTTGCAAGTCTTGTCATAGTTCTTTTTTAACCTACTTATTCATAGACTTCTCCTACAAGTGTACTACCCACTTACCATCGGCCAGGCTCTTTCCCATCAAACTTGCATGAGTTCAAAGCCTTGTATATATCTGCATTAACATTAATTGGGCCTTCTTGTTGGGCCTTGAGTGTTGTGATTGTTTGATGGCCCGGCTGTTCCAAGTTGATAATCTCCAATCCAGTCAGAAACAACGTCAAAACTTCGACAACAGATTCTTCGGTCAACACCACTAAGTGACGACCTCACTTTAATTGGAGCTTCATTCCTCAACTCACAAGAACCAGGTTCATTTTATTTTATTTATTTATTTATCTAACTTTTTTTTTTGTATAATTGTCAAAATATCAACCTTACGCATATTTTAAAATTAATTTTAGTTTTAGTTCTCTACCGAATGGCTAGTAAACTTGTTCTATCGGAACTAGAAAAAATTAACAAATTTAATGACAGTAATTATGATATGTGGCATAAAAAAATAGGATATGCTCTTATTCATGACAACATTGATGATATAATCGAAACCACTGCTCCAACCCTTACTGATAAATTTATACCTGAAGAAAAGAAAGGGTTTGAACAGTGGAAGTCGGAAGATAAAAAGACGAAAAGTCTTATGCTCATGTTCATGGAAGATAACTTAATCAAAGTTTTTGAAACTTATAAGACTTCCATGGACATGTGGAATGTAATAAAAGAAAAATACGACACTGCTTCTGAAGTTAACATTTAACTCCTATTGCATAAGTATAATTCTTATCGTATGCAAGAGGGAGATAATGTCATAGAGCATATAAATAAAATGATTGTCATGGCTAAGGACTTATCCACTACTGAGATCGAAATCCCGAAAAGAATACAAATGACAACCATTTTGAATAGTCTTCCCCCTTCACTTGCTGTGGTTGCCACCACATTAAGAATGAATCCTGCCATTAAGTCTGTCACTGATCTTCCTATGCACCTAACGATAGAACATGATTTAATAGCCAGTAGGAAGGAACCAGAACTGAATATGGTGCAGCAAGAGCTGAATTATGTCCGCCAGAGGCATAATGCTGGAAGCTATAAAAACCCTGGTTCTAGTAAACTACAACCGCGAGGACTGAAATCACAACAATTCAAGAGAAAGAAAGTACCCCACGGAGCCTGCTATAATTGTGGAAAGTTCGGGCATTTCAAACTCAATTGCCCACAAGGAGAAAAGCAGGAGAATAAGGGAGGCTATAAGCATCCAGAACAAGGGGATACTAGCAAAAGAGAATTCGTCGGTGTGACGGAATGTAATGCTGTGATGACGGACATCAATGGTTGGTGGATCGACTTCGGAGCGACTAGGCATATTGCAAAGGACAAGAATGGAGTCGTAGAATTCACCGAGCTGAAAAAAGAAGAACAGAGAATCTATATGGGAAATAATACCTATCTCGATATAGAAGGTATTGGTTCGTATAGATTGGATCTTGGGGATAGTATTCTTGTCCTCAAAGATGTGTTCTATGCGTCAGGAATTCGGCGCAATCTGATCTCTGTTCCCAGCTTGATGAAGAACGGACTGGAAGTTAGGTTCTATAATAAAAGGGTTTCTATAGGCAAGAATAATAAAGTGTATGCTATGGGAAAATATGTGCCCGAGCATGAATTATGCATTCTTCCAGTAGTTTGTAATAATTCTGATAATAAAATTTTGAATTTGAACTACTTGTCCTGTTATATTTCTGAATCTGAATTGTGGCATTCTAGACTAGGACATGCTAGTATTTCAAAAATAAAAAAAATTATCAGAATGAACTTGCTTCCTGCACTACCTAATATTCAATTGCCACCATGTGAATATTGTTTAACTGGTAAAATGACTAGAAAACCTTTTGTTGGCGGACATAGAGCCAATGAACTTTTAGGGTTGATACACTCGGATATTTGTGGTCCCCTAAATGTCAAAACTCATAGTAATAAAGAATATTTTATTACTTTTATAGATGATTATTCCAAGTTTGCACACGTCTATCTTATATCTAGAAAATTAGAAGCTTTTGAGTGCTTTAAGAGATATAAGACAAAAGTTAAAAATCAACTTGGATTGAAAATCAAAATTCTGAGAACTGATAGAGGTGGAGAATATAATTCTAAAGAATTTGAAAGTTATTGTATTCAGCATGGAATTAAAAGGCATACAACAATGCCGTATACGCCACAACAGAATGGTGTTGCTGAAAGAAAAAACAGAACATTATTAAATGTAGTTAGATGCATGTTGTCTCATTCTGGTCTCTCTAAAAACTTTTGGGGAGAAGCATTGTTAACTGCAAACTACATTTTAAATAGAATTCCCACCAAATCAGTTATATCTACACCTTATGAATTATGGAATGGGAGGAAACCTAATTTGAGTCATCTCAGGAAGTGGGGATCTATAGCCCATGTTCTCATTCCATGTCAACTTAGAGATAAGTTGGATTTTAAAACAATAAAGTGTAGATTCATAGGGTATTCAGAAAAGTCAAAAGGTTATAAGTTCTACAATAAAGAAAAAGGAATCATTGAAAGCAGAGATGCTACATTTCTAGAGAATCTAGAGGAAGAGGAACAAGTTCAAGAGGAAACAGAACCTCTAACTGTAATAGATGATGATTATTACAGTATTGTTCCCACTAATGATCCTGATATTGTGAATGAACCTAACCTTAAAATAATGAAATACCTATAGAAAATAATATACCTAATCAACCGGTTGTAGGTAACAAAAGGCCAAGAACACAACCTTTATGGATGGATGATTACTATTTGTATTCATGTGAGTCATCCTGTTTTTCGGTAGATACAAATATAGAAGAACAAGATCCCTTAACATTTTCTGATACGATGAAATCGCATGAATCAGCTTTATAGCTAGAATTTATGAGAGAAGAACTTGATTCCATAGAAAAGAATAAGGTATGGGAGTTATGTGATCTACTAGAAAATAGAAAAGCCATAGGATGCAAATGGGTGCTCAAAAAGAAATATCGTGTTGATGGATCTATTGATAAATTCAAAGCACGGTTAGTTGCCAAAGGTTATAACCAGAAGGCAGGAATAGATTTTCAAGAGACGTATTCTCCTGTAGCTAAATTTGCATCCATTAGAATTATTTTGGCTATTGTTGCATATTTTGATTTGGAGTTATTCCAAATGGATGTTAAAACTGCATTCCTTAACGGAGAGTTGAAGGAAGCAATATATATGCAACAACCTGAAAGTTTTCAGGTGAAAGAATAGGAACATAAATTTTGTAAATTAATGAAATCTCTATATGGTTTAAAATAGTCTTCTAGACAATGGTATCTCAAATTTCATGATGCAGTTACTAAACTTGGTTTTATTCAAAATAAATTAGATAATTGTGTATATATCTTGAAAAGTGGGAGCAAGTTTACTATATTATCCTTATATGTGGATGATATATTGCTCGCTGGAAATGACATAGAAATGTTGAATAAAACCAAGGCAGATCTCAGCGAAAAGTTTGAGATGAAAGACATGGGAGATGCATCATATATTCTTGGAATTCAAATAATTCGAGATAGAAAGTCTAGAATGCTAAGTTTAAACCAAGAAAAATATTTAAGATTAGTTCTTAAAAGGTTTGGAATGGAGAATTCCAATCCGGCACCAACTCCGTTGGTTATGGGAAAGAGATTATGTAAAGAGCAAAGCCCTGGAGAATGACAGAAGCCATTAAATGTTTCTTATGCTCAAGCAATTGGAAGCTTAATGTATGCAATGTTGTGCACCAGACCTGATATAGCTTATGCTGTGAGTCTAGTCAGTAGATATCAAAGTAATCCAGGACCAACACATTGGGAAGCTATTAAAAAGATTATGAAGTATATTAGAGGTACATTGACTCATAGATTAGTTTATCAAGCTGATTCGCTTGAACTCCTCGGTTATTCCGATGCTGATTTTGGAGGTGATAAAGATGATGGAAAGTCCACTTCGGGATACTTATTCATCTTTGGAGGAGGAGCTGTTTCTTGGAGTAGTAAGAAACAAGGGTGTGTTGCTAGATATACACAAGAAGCTGAATATATAGCTTGCAGTATGGCAACTACACATGCTGTTTGGATAAGACGGTTTTTGATTGATCTTGATCTCAATTTGTTGGAAGGACCTATTGATATTTATTGTGATAATCAAGCAGCAATTAGCTTAATCAATAGTGGTGCGAATAGTTCCAAAGAAAAACATATTGAGATCCAGTATCACTATATTCGAGATATTGTAGAAAAGGGAGAAGTCAAAGTGACTTATATCCCTACTACAGATATAATTGATGATCCTTTGACAAAAGGAATACCAGCGGAATCTTTTATCAAACATGTATGTTTGATGAGACTTAGAAATAAATAAGTCCAAGTAAAATTTCATGAATAATAAAATAAGAGTTACTCTCTACGGATAGTAAATTTCATGAATAATAAAATAAGAGTTACTCTCTACGGATAGTGGGAGTAATGGTAAGCAGAAACATCCGATCTCACGGATAGTGGGAGGCATGTCACTTGGTTAATTTGGTCAAGTGGGAGATGTTAGCTTGACTTGGTCATTGATGACCAAATCAACCACTGTTCCTCTGTTGAGAGAATGGTGGAGAACGTGAATCATGGGTGGTTGAGAGAAAATCTCTCATGGGGGCGGATCTGAGGGGTAGAGATGATGAGTTAAGCCCCTATATAAGGAGGATCATTCTCCTTGAGAAAACGCAATGAAAATCAAAAAGAAAACCCACTTACCCATTAACGGAGCCCCTCAGAAATCCTCTTTCTTCTTCTCTGTTTTTTTTAATCAAGTAGGTCATACATATTCTCTTCATCTATTTGCCCCAGATTGTATTTGCAACGAGGCAATTTCGCTAGATTTGAGCTTCATTCATGCATGTAAATCAAAATTACTCTAATCTTTACCATTCAATCCAATTTCAAAAGATAAGATGAGAGCAGGTAGAATTTCCATTATCGCATTTATGCCTTTCACGATAGTGCTTGCTTTTCAAGGTAATAATGATTTTTATGACACTAGTTGAAATCCTGTGTGGTCGTATGCTCTCCATTGAAATTGGAATGAATAGTAAGGATTTGAGTATTATCTCTTCGAGTACCACTTATTGGAGAGGACCTGAGTACCCGTTGAAAGTAAGTGTAATTCACGAGGGTAAGATAAGTCATAGATTTCAAATGAGTTATAAGCATTCATTATGTCATCAACTATTAAAATTAAAAGTAGTGGCCTCAGCGAATACTAACATTTCAGTAGTAGAAGGGATCCAAATCCCTAGAAATGTGGGTTTTGGATCCTTTCCCTCTTCACTGTTTTGCGGACAACCATTCCAAATTATAGTACTCACCACATTTCCATGTTATCTTTCACAATCATTTAGCTACATAATAAACTCTTGTAAATAATGAAGAAGAAGCACTACATCCCTAGCACTTAGCAGTGCTACATTTTTTATAAGATTTTAATTTTGAAATGGAAAAATTGGGGTCCACAGGTTTAACTTTCTTGATGTAGCTTTTTTCCCCTTTCAAAAATGAACTTTTTGGTGTTGGTTGTGAAAGCTGATAGGAACGTGTGCTGTAGCTGAGCCTCTCCTTCCACGGCAAATGAATTATGAAGGTCACATGAGTAATTGTTTTATATATGTTTATTTGTTAATTCTCTTTTTCTTTTTTCATAATAGTCCTTTCCATTTCACTACTTTTGGTGTTAGCTGCCATGTACTCTATACCCATTTCTTTTTTAAACCAAAATACATAACATTATTGAGCATATGGGAAGTTACCACACATAAACACTTCTCATCTTTATGGGGTTTTCTATCAATTAGAAACAAGCCTCTTGTCTTGACAAAAGTTGGATACAGTGTTGTTAAATTTAGTTATTTGTCTGGTCTTCTTAGTGAGTAATTGAACTATATGAAGGAACAAAAAATTGCAGGGACCTGACCTTTTTGTGTGGGAGAGCTGGGGTTTATGCGCTAGGGGCCGTTGTTGCAAACTATAGAGATGACCAAGCAAGGCGAGACCTCTTCTTGGATCTATTCTTTGAGGTATTCTTATGGTTGATTACTCACTTAATTACCCAAATTCAGCCTTCATGTTGTTTAATCTTGTCGATACACGGTAGCAATTAATTTGATGTTTTCCCGAGTGAAGCAGTTTGGCTTCTAAGTAGTATTGATTTTTTACGATTATCCAAGTGAAGGTGGAAATTTATTCGGAAGCGTTGCATCCCTTCAACGTCAACTATGGGTCTGGTCTTAAGAAGGCATGGAGTGAGATTTAATCCCGCTTCGGTAAAATGATCAGATAGATTGTCGATGAATATGTTTTTCCGATAATCCGTGATATAATCGATGGTTAACTCTCTCAAGTCAATATAGATCTAAACAGATTAGTGAAAGTCAATCACAAACATCTTCAAACATCATGAATGTGGTTAATGAATTGTAATTCAAGCAGTGCATTTGATCTTGCTAAGTACGTTTTATATTAAGGAATTTGATGCACTTGTAACTCTATACACTATGTTACCTTAAATAATTTGAAGGGTTGTCGTCAAACATATCCTAAACCTCCCATATTGAATTGTTTGATGTTTAACTGTAGGCAGCAAGTGATCCAGCTCTCCCAGTGGGACCCGAAGACGGAGGTTTCGGAATGCCATACGAACTCCTCCACGGAAGAGCCGGCTTCCTCTATGCCGCCCTCTTCATCAACCAGTACCTTGGACCCCACACAATCCCCGACCAGATCCTCAACCCGATCATCAACGCAGTCCTCGCTGGCGGCCGAGCCGGTTCATCGGTCAACTCGGATTGCCCATTGATGTACAGGTGGCACGGGACCCGATACATGGGTGCAGCCCACGGCCTAGCTGGTGTTCTGCACGTGCTTCTACAATTCCGTCTTGAGAGGAAGGAGGATGCTGAGGATGTGAAGGAAGCTATTAGGTACTTGATCAGGAGTCGGTTTGGGCAGAGTGGTAATTATCCGTTGAGTGAAGGGAATAGGAGGGATTGGCTCGTGCAGTGGTCTCATGGA